GTCCATTGTTGCAGCCACTGTGTCAGTCTATCTCATTGAAGGTCTTCCTCTTTTTCGGTGACGCTTTACTTTACCAAGCATAATGTCCTTCTCCAGGGACAGGTCCCTCCTGATAACATGTCCGAAGTATGTAAGACATAGTCTCACCATCCTTGCTTCTAAGGAACATTCTGTTTGTACTTCTTCCAAGACAGATTTGTTTGTTCTTTTGACAGTCCATCGTAGATTCACTATTCTTCCCAAACACCACAATTCAAAGGCATCAGTTCTTCACTTTTCCTTATTCATTGTCCAGCTTTCGCATGCATGTTGGGCAATTGAAAACACCATGGCTTGGATCAGGCGGATCTTAGTCTTCAAGGTGACATCATTACTTTTCAACACTTTAAAGAGGTCTTTTGCAGCAGATTTGCCCAATGCAATGCATCTTTTGATTTCTTGACTGCTGCATCCATGGGTGTTGATTGTTGATCCAAGTAAAATGAAATCCTTGATAACTTCAATCTTTTCTTCATTTATTATGATGCTGCTTATTTGTCCATTTGTGATGATTTTTGTTTTCTTTATGTTGAGGTGCAATCTGTACTGAAGGCTGTGGTCTTTTATCTTCATCAGTAAGTGCTTCAAATCCTCTTTGCTTTCAGTAAGCAAGTTTGTCTCATCTGCTTGAGATCAATTAATTATTCAATTCATATTAATGAGTGACTATTAGCTATCAAATAGTGCCTGTCCTGAAAATACCAATTCCCAAACTTAAATCCTGGGGTTATGTTGTTGTTGTTGTTAGCTGCCCTTAAGCAGGTCGGACTTACGGCAATCCAAGCAGAACAGAATGAAATACTGAAGGCTGTGGTCTTTGATCTTTATCAGTAAGTGTTTCAAGTCCTCTTCACTTTCGGCAAGCAAGGTTGTGTCATCTGCATAACACAGGTTGTTAATGAGTCTTCCTCCAATCCTGATGCCCCATTCTTCTTCATAAATCCAGCTTCTCGGATTATTTGCTCAGCATATGAGTGAATAGGTATGGTGAAATAATACAACCCTGACACACACCTTTCCTGGCTTTAAACCACACAGCATCCCCTCGTTATGCTGGAACGACTGCCTCTTGACCTGTGTACAGGTTCCTCATGAGCACAATTAAGTGTCCTGGAATTCTCATTCTTCGCAATGTTATCCATAGTTTGTTATAATCCACACAGTCAAATACTTTTGCATAGTCAATAAAACACAGGTAAACATCTTTCTGGTATTCTCTGCTTTCAGCCAGGATCCATCTGACATCAGCAATGACATTCCTGGTTCCACATCCTCTTCTGAATCCAGTTTGAATTTCTGGTAGTTCCCTATCAATATACTGCTGCAGTCGCTTTTGAATGATCTTCCACAAAATTTTACTTGCATGTGATATTAATGATATTGTTCGATAATTTCCACATTCAGTTTGATCATCTTTCTTGGGAATAGGCATAAATATAGATCTCTTCCAGTCAGTTGGCCAGGTAGCTGTCTTCCAAATTTCTTGGCATAGACAAGTGAGCACTTCCAGAATTGCATCCATTTGTTGAAGCTTCTTGATTGATATTCTGTCAATTCCTGGAGCCTTGTTTTTTGCCAATGCCCTCAGCACAGCTTGGACTTCTTCCTTCAGTTCCATCAGTTCCTGATCATATTCTACCTCCTGAAATGGTTGAACGTCAATCAATTCTTTTTGGTATAATGACTCTGTGTATTCCTACCGTCTTTTTTTGACGCTTCCTGAGCAGTTTAATATTTTCCCCGTAGAATCCTTCACTACTGGAACTCAAGGCTTGAATTTTTTCTTCAGTTCTTTCTGCCTGAGAAATGCCGAACATGTTCTTCCCTTTCGGTTTTCTATCTCCATCTCTTTGCACTTGTCATTACAATACTTTACTTGTCTTCTCGAGCCTCCCTTTGAAATATTCTGTTCAGTTCTTTTACTTCATCATTTCTTCCTTTTGCTTTAGCTAACTGAAAGAGCCAGTTTCAGTCTCTTCCAGCATCCATTTTGGTCTTTTCTTTCTTTCCTGTCTTATATACCTCATGTAAATTGAACACATTTTACTTCTTCAAATTATCTACTTAATTCACACTTCACTTTTTGATAAACTGAATTGCAACCTATATTTACTGCAAAGTTTCACCTGAATAAATTTAATCGGCAGTTTGGTGAAAGACAAATCCAATATATTAAAAATCATTTTTAAAAATAGAAAGTTGTGGTAGGGCATATTTATTTGGAATATTCATGAGCCTAGCTTTGAATAACCCCCTCCCCCTCATACCACGTTGTTCTAGTGAGTACCACCACCCTACTCCACAACCCCACTGCTATATGGATGGGGATGAACTTATTACTCATAGGACCTGAGCTCCCTAGCAATAATGACTGGCCCAGGAAATGGATGTGACCTAAGCAGTGTCAAATGAAGTCCATCCTTAGACTGACATAGAGACACTGGAAGGATGAGCATGGGGGGCTGACAGCAGTCATCCTCCCTCCCACACAGAGTGAAGCTGTCTGCAAAACATACCCCTACCCATAACTAAGAAATTCCACTTCTAGCCATTTAACCAAGAGAAATGGAGTCCACATGTCCACAAAAAATTTATATAAAAATGTTCAAAGTAGTTTTACTTATATTAGTCCCAAATTGCAAATAACCCTAATAATGCCCATCAACGTGTATATTGATAAATTGTGATAGAATCATACAGTGGGATACTCCTCAGCAATAAAAGGAAACAAACTTAGAGATATACATAACAACAATGATGAAACCCACAGTCATATAATGAGTGAAAAAAGCTAGATACAAAAGAGTATACACTCCATTATCCTATTTATATGACATTCTAGGAGAGGCAAAATGAATCTATGGTCATAAAAATTAGAAAAGTGATTACTCTTGAGAGAGTGGATTGACTAGAAAGGGGCACAAGGTAACTTTCTAAGATGATAGGAATGTCATGTCTTGATAGAGACATGAGTTACATGAGTGTAGACTTGTAACTTAAGACTTGTATATACATTTCATTTAAAAAACTCGAAAAAATTTTTAAATTCTTGTTAGTAGATTTTCTTTATAACCTGGATATGGGATACCAATTCTGAAATTACCTTCTATATATATTCTAGGCTGAGCAAATGAGTATATATATTCAGTATAGTAGGAATCCAGGTTTCGACTGTTGGAAAGGAATTTACATATATAGAAAGGGGAAATACTAGAAGGTATCCTGTGGAATTGGAAATATCAGTCTAAACTTATGGTGTTTAATGAATAAGTAGATACAGAAATAAATTTAGACATATGTTTACCAATGCTGTTCCTTGAGAGGACCTAAAAGTAATAACACACTAAGAGCAATGAGTACACCTAGCATCCAGATTTGGACTTATAAATGCCATTCACTTCTAAAAGGAATTAGGGCCACTTGGATAAAAGTTAGATCCCAGGGCTAGAGCAGGGTAAGTCCAAAACGATTCTAGAACAACACGTACCTGAAAGTAAGGAAGTATTCAAAGAATATAGGGAGTGTCAAAAGGACATAGGCGCTAGCTTAGTGTGGCTTTCATGGGCCAAATCTGGGGCAATGTGAACATCTGAATAAATAGTAATTGCTATGGATCATACTCAAAGAATAAAACAAGAATTTGTAGGTCTTACTGATATAACAGAAGAGAGAGAGAGAAAGGAAGGAAGAGAGACATGAGAAAGCTCTTCCTTTCAGTAGAATACCAATAAATATGGAAGGGATAACTGAATTATAGACTTCACTAATGTATGTAAAAACTAGTAGGTATAAGTTTGATGAGGAATGAGATATTTACAAAATCTCAAAGTATCTCCCCACAAATTACTCATTATTTACAAAGAGGAAAATAGGAACTTTATTGTGGAGAAACCAGGCAGACTCCTTGTGAGCAAAGTTTACATCATAAATATTGGAATAAACCATCATCACATATCTCCTGACATGATATGTTGAAAAAGACATAATATGACTTCTGTGATATTTCTGCCAAAATCACATAACCTGAATCTAATCACGAGGAAACATTAGACAAACCCAAATTGAGGTTTGCATGGTAAGGACCAGCATGAATCCAATCCCCAAATTCCAGGCTTCACATTCTCACTGCTCCATCCTCATCACCAGCCACCCCTGCAGTTCTCTCTCTGTCTTTCTCTTTCATTAACCCTAGCAGCCCCATGATAGGTCAGAAATCATAAGTTAAAAGGACATCATCCTTTAGATTGCCAAATAGGCAGATGTCAGCCGCAGGCCCAAGAGTCCACATGACACCCTTAATTTCTTACCTGCTAGCTCCTACTGTCCCTTTAGGTTCAATAATTCACTGGCACAACTCACAGAATTCACAGAGTATACCTGGGGCCCTGGTGGCACAGCGGTTAAGAGCTCGGCTGCTAACCAAAATGTTGGGAGTTTGAATCCACCAGCTGCCCCTTGGAAACCCTACGGGGCAGTTCTACCCTGTCCTGTATGGTCGCTATGAGTCGGAATCGAATCAACTCGACGGCAACAGGTTTTTTTATACTATATACCAGATTTGTTATAACCAAAAAGGTTGCAAACAGGCACACAGGGTGAGGTCTGGGAGGGTTCCTGATGCAGAGCTTTCATGCTCCAATGGACACACTACCCTCCAGAGAGCAGATGTTCTCACCAACCAGGAAGCTCTCTGAGACTTCCTGTTCCGGGCTTTTATTGGCCAGTCCTGCTTGATAGGTGAAATCATGCCTCTTAAGTCTAAAAGCCTCCCAGGTGAGTCTTTTCTGGTCTGGCCAGTCCCCACTTACCAGCACAAATCCTCAGGTGTGGTCTGAAAATCCCAGACCAATGCACCTCAATTATTCTAAAGGTTATTTCCCCGAGCCAAGGACAAAGGCAACGTTACTTAGGGTAAAACTAGGTCCTTTACCCCACAAGGTACAATCTACAAAATAACTTGCCTGTAGTTTTCAAAAATTTCCAGGCCAAGAAAGACAAAGGAAGATGAGGAACTGTTTCAGATGAAAGTACACTACACATAAATGACAACTAAACACATGCTCCATTCTGGCTTGGATCCTGAACTGGAAAAAAAGAGAGAGAGAGGATATCATTGGGAAAATTGATAAAACTTTAATATAAACTGTGGATTCGATAATATTATTGTGTCAATGTTAAATTTTCTGATTTTGATCATTTGATAACTGTGGTTATATAAGACACTCTCCTTGTTCTTAGGAAATACACACTTAAGTATTTATGGGTAAAAGGACGTGATGTATCCAACTAATTCTAAATAATTCAGAAAAAAATCAGACAAACAGATATAGACAGAATGATAAAGCATATGGAACAGAATGTAAACAATCAGTGAATCTGTGTGAAGGTTGTTCAGCAGTTTCTAGTACTATTCTTGCAATTTACCTGTAAGTGTGAAAGTATATATATATATAATGTTTCAGTTAACAACACATGTGGCTTACTGTAAGCAGATATAAGGGAGATACAAATAATGTTCTTCACTGGACCACCAGCATGGATTTCAAATAATTCTACTGTAATAGAAAAGGTACTGTTGTTGTGCCATTGGGTCGATTATGACTCATAGCGAACATATATAACAGAGTAGAACTGCCCTATAGGGTTTTCTAGGCTGTAATCTTTACAGGAGCAGATTGCCAGGTCTTTTCTCCCAGGGAGCTGCTGGGGTGGGTTCAAATCACCAACCTTTCAGTTAGCAGCCAAGCACTTAACCATTGCACCACCAGGGCTCCTTAACAGAAAGGGTACTACTCTAGCAGTTTACAAATATGGCCTCAGAATTAACTAGGAATTAACCTGACTTTGAGAAAGTCATTTAATTTTTGTGGTGCTGGTTCTCTGAGCCCCAAAATAAAGAGGTTGAATAAACTATTTGATATCTAAGATTTCTATTACTTCTAAAACATAGGGATTACAAGAAATTATCTTTTAACAGCATTGTACTTCTAGATGTTACATGATTCAAAACCAAAAACCAAACCCACTGCCATCAAGTCAAATTCCAATTCATAGTGACCCTATAGGACAAGAGCAGAACTTCTCTATAGGGTTTCCAAGGCTGTAAATCTTTACAGAAGCAGACTGCCACATCTTTCTCCCTAGGAGCGGCTGGTGGGTTCGAACCATCAACCTTTCGGTTAGCAGCTGAGCACTTAACCACTGTGCCACCAAGGCTCCTTTGTTACATGATTAGTAGGATACATTTTTTAGTTCAGTCAGGATTAAGACTTGTAGAGGTAAAATGAAGTAGAATAGAACTCTCATTCTATTCCCAATGCTCTTTATTGAACTGCTATGCCAACTTAGGATCTTCTCTTTTCATTTTCTAAGAAAATGCCGTGCCTTAATTTAGAAGGCTATTTAAAAAACAGACCAAAAAAAAACGGTGATTACCACTAGAAATTTGCATGTGATGTTCCCTTTTAGTCAAAAATATGATTTTTACTTATTTAATAAATAACAGTGTTTACAATATGCTCACTATTCTGTTATATATACAATATGCTCACTGTTCTAAGTGATATACACATGTTACACGTACACAGAAACACATATACATACATGAGTCGGAACCAACTTGATGGCACCTAACAACATACATATACATGTATATGTATATATGTGTGTATATATGTATATATGCTCATTTAATCCTCAGAACCACTCTACGAAGTAAGTACTACTGTTATTTCTACTTTACGAAAGGAAAAACTAAAGTACAGAAAGGTTAGTAAGTTACTTACATTCCTACTGCTAATAAGCGGCTGTTTCAAAATAACCACGCGTTAGGACCTAGGTAGTGTGGCTACAGAGACTGTGTTCTCAACTCAAACTCTACCTTGCCTCTTGAATGTTGCATAAAAAAACTCTAGCATAGAATAGCTACGTGCACTGAAAAATTCCATGAGAAAAAGTGATCTGAGTTATAAAACTCTATTTTTTAATAAAATATCAATTTATTCTTTATACCAAAATCTAGTACCTATATTCTGACATATATATATAGAGAGAGACATGTTGTATATACATACTCTCATGTGCCAGGTCTATCACTAATATTTATTATCTCGATATTTTGTCCGTTCATCTCATTTTGAGTTTTTATTTTTAAAACTGTAAGACAACAGACGTTTTCATTCAAAATTTTCGCCACATTGACTTGCTGATCTTTCCCCTTCAGCAGCTTGGAAGCAGTCAGGTGGAAGAGCTCAGAAGCTGCTGTTTGCTTTTGCTCTGCAGAGGCCAGCCAACAAAGCCAGCTCGCTGCAGCACACTCGTTATGCTCTGCTCTGGGGAAAAAAAAATTAGCTTCTTATACTTTTGGTTCTTTATGAACAGAAAATTAGCAGTGAAAGTGACAAATTATCTTTTGCCTTCAGAAAGAAAGTAGAGTACTGTGTTGGAAAAGCACGAAGTTGTAAGTACTTAGAATTTCATTATAGCATGACTAACACATGTTCGCTCCCTCTGGGTGCCAATATCAGTAGTTACATGTTTAGCTCATTTAGGCCTCCCTAGATGCTGGGGAATTACTTATGCAAACCCCAAGCTCAGCTTGAAAAAAAAAATTGGACAACTAAGCAAGGGTACTTTTAAATGGCAATGGAATTTTCTGGGAGAGATGAAATGTAGGGAGTTATGACAACAGTAAGAACTGAAAACCATTTATATTTTAACATGTCTGACACATTGCCTTGAGAAAAATAACAATAGCCACCAATCTTCATATATAGGGCTGCTCATCAATCCCATATAATCCTGACAAAACCCTTGAAAAGTAGAGCTGAAGTCCCTCTTGTATATATAATCCAAGAGGTTAAAGTGACCTGCTCATGTCATAAACCTAGTGAGTATCTGAGCAGGGATGTGAATGTACATTTTTTGACTTTGGAGTCTGAAGTTTTGTTTTGTTTTTTCCTCACTGAACTACACTGCTTCATACTTATACAAACCACCACCCTATACATACTGGGATTTCCAGAAAAATAAATGAATAAAGTAATAATGGGCCAAAGAATAGGCACTTAGATATTTACTACATTATAGCTTAAATTGTTATAAAAATGTTTCAGACAAAATTAACACATCACTGGAGAAATATTCTGTCAATATTTACTTTTCACGCAGCTGCTTTAGGATTTCAAGAATCTAAACATGAAATGGAGCCATTCACTGATGGGTCACTTATAAAAATGAAAGTACTAGCACAACTTAAATTACAACCTCACAGTGAAAAGAAAAAGAAAACATTTTAAGAGTTTTAGAAAACATACTGCTCTACAATTTGGTTATGAAACGTAACAATATGAAATTTAGTCTTTAAAGTTGTTTTACCTAACAATTACGGATGGTCAGTTTCCAATTAATTAGAAAAATAATCATTCTTACCATCAAAACTATAACAAACATAGTTCAGCCTTGCTTTGATACCCAGAGGCCATTTAGAATCTTGTAATATTATAAGATCAGTTACCGGGAGTTTTTTTTTTTTTTTAATAGAACACCAAATAACCAGATTCAATCATTATTTTCCCTCTCCCACCTATACTAACAGTTGATATACTCTTTCTGCTCCCATGACTAAAACATTCCTTTTTTCTGTCCTGTCCGTTCCTCTATCCCAGCCAGCTGTGGCCTCCTCTCCCTGACACATCTTTGCCTTATATCTAGATGATGATTTCATTCTACTCCCCAATTCCACAGATTCTAAGGGCCCACTTCTTGGTGCTGCTGTAGACTGATAATCCTCAAGCATGTATTTTATTTAGTTCAGAACCTTCAATAGCTGCCAGCTACACAGTAAATCATGTTAAACTTAGCCTCATTTTCAAGATGTCATAATCTAGCCCGGTCTACCTTTCCAATTTACTATTCATTACTCCCCAACAAGTAGCCTATGCAGGAGCGCTCCATGTCTGTCTACTCAATTTGACCCAAATATGCAGTGCTCATTCTCACCCCTTGTTTCTTGGAATTTAAACCAAACCAAAACTAAAGCAGTTGCTGCAGAGTGGATTCTGACTCATGGTGACCGCAGGTGTGCAGAGTAGAACTGAGGTATAGGGTTTTCAAGAACCTTCAATTTTCAGTTAGCGGTCAAATACTCAACTTTTTGCACCACCCAGGAACTCTGTTTCTGGAACTTACTACAACCAAAATAACAACCGCAGCAGCAACAGCTTATATATTGCTTACCGTGTATTACTTACTATGTTCAGCAAAAGTCGTGTCTTTTTTTAAATACATTTAACTGACATAACCTCACAATACCCATGTGAAGTAGATGCTCTTGCTGTCAGCCCAATTGTTCAGAAGGCCCAACGCAGACAAATAACTCTTGCAAGTTCACACAGCTAATAAGTAATAGGGCCAGAATTTAAACCAAGCAGTTTTGTTCCAGGTTCTACACTCAACCATTATCTATACTGCCTCTCAATTACCAGTTAATACATGTATTGACTGTCAGCAACACAGCTCAGCCTTTGATTATTTCACAGATGCTACTTTTATCTCTTTAACACATTTATAAAATTATTTCAAGTTATTTACTTCTTTGAGGGACCTCTTAATACTGGATATGTAGTAGGCCCCAAACAAGTGTCTCTAAAGGAGATCATTTTATTCTTCAAAGATTTTACCTGAAAAGAATAAATATTATGAAAGAAAAAGATTCAAGAATTATGATTAATCAAAATGTATAGAAATAGATCTCCTGTTATCAACAAAGTCCTCTGGAACAAGGCTTTCCTGTGGCAGGAAAACTAAGAACATGGAACCTGGAGTATGGGCTGGGCAGTCGCTGCTGAGGGTTTCTACATCGAAAAGGCCACAGGGCTGCTGTCGGTTTGGGGGAAGACCAGCGATTCACAAAAATGTGCTCTAAAGTTGCCAAACAAGTACACTGACTTTGGTTGCAAGTTGTAGATCAATAAAAATAGCAACATTTCCTAAACAGACTTTCATTTACACTCTATATAAGATTGGAAAATGTAAATTACCCATATTAATTAAATTATTATTATTCATTTATTAAGCATAGGGGA